TTACACATTATATTAATAATAATTGTGAATCATACTAGAACCATCCTGTAAATATTTCTGTTTGTTCCATTCCAAAATCTCCCACTGTTTATAGTTCATGCATCTTTTTTTCAGGTGACTGACAGAGATGCAGGAGGAGAGACCGGTGAAGGTACAGCAGGAGAGGCTGTAGGAGATGGAGGACGAGAGCCTGGAGGAGATGGAGCAGAGGCTGGAGGCTCACAGGTGAGGTTGAAATAATGAAGATACGATAGACATAAAATTGATCATTGTGACAAATGTTAGGGTGATGATCATGTGTAAAACATTAGTTCAGCATGTCCTCTAACACAGCAAATGAAATAACGGCCAGATCTCAGGAGGGACCGTTTATGTATAAATACTTTTTATACTTTTGACTAGGCCTGGGAAAGTAACAAATTTTGCTGGATGATATTTTGTCCAAAAAAATTGTTGATGATAAACAATATCATTGTCAACATTATCTAGACCAAAATAACCACTAATATAATGTTAATATATCATAATGCAAGTACACCCTTTAAAATGCAACAAATAAACCTTCATTTAACATTGAAATGTCCAGAACCAGAACTTCTAAATGAATAAAAATAACAAACAAAAATTAAATAAAAAAAGAATCTCACTCCATGTTAGAAAATGTTGCACCAAAAACAATAAAAAAAGACCCAAAACAATAAATACAATGGCCTATCCATTGTCAACAGCCAAAACTGCACTTCAATAATGATAATAAATATTAATGATAATAGAGTTGTACATTTTTTAACTTTGATATATATATATATATATATATTGAGGATGGAAAAATTATTGAGATGGGCATGTGACGTGTCAAAGGGTCTTTACATAACACCCCCACCCCAAATCCGCACAAGCCTGCTGTGTCCCCCCCACTTCTGAAATCAAAATTTCGTCCCTGCAGTAACACCTAAAAATCTGAAAAGGCTGAAACTCAACAGTAAATTATCACGTTTACTATAGAAATAATAACTTTGAACAAAGCATCAAAGGGTTTTTGATGTTAGTTGTTATTTATCAAATCAAATAATATTTAAACAGCACATGTTTAACCATGCTTTTTGTCTTTACTTTTCATAGACACAGTTTTCTTCAAAAAACCTTCATTGAAATGGGATTATATTCAGTTATTATTTGGGATAAACGTCAATGATCATCAGTCAAAAACAGCTAGGGCTGAAAGGAATCATCAAATGATTTGATTTATCAAATTCCTCAAATGCTCTTGATTTAACCCCTGTATAATCTTTGACGTAGGGCCATTTGATCACGTCATCACGTTTGGACGTGTTGCACTTGCCCGAGCTTCCACTAAGTTTTATCAAACACCGTCATCTCGATCTGAGCTCCAATGAGGTGGGTGTCTTTCTCTCTCTCTCCCTTGGGTCTGTTTTTGAGCTGATGTTGGAGCTAACGTATTTATTTGCTTAAATCAACCAGAAGTAAAAATGTTAACTTTACATATCAAGCAAAGCCTGAGGAAAACACACAATAGCGACAATAAAATATGATCCTATCCAGAAATCCAGCTGCTCAAAATAGAGTTAAGGTTCTCTTCTTTCAGACAATATGTTTCATTTCTGTACCATGAAAACTCACAAAGCCAGCCGCAATCAAACGGAGAACAACACAGCTCTTTTTCGGCAGTCAGCAGCATAATTCTGTCTTACCTTTGCTGATATATGATCACAATCTGTGTTCCGGTAAAAAAAAATCCACTCGAATCGTGTAATCCATTTTCCCAACACCAAAACTAACTAATTCCTGTTTTTGCTGTAATTTGATCTCTACAGGCCAGTTAGAAATCAGCTACGCCATTTTAACCAGAAGAATGACTCTCCCCTTAGGAGCCCCGTGGTGTTCACGATTCAACTAGAAGTCAACAAAATGCAACACCACACATTTCTATTGGCTCAGAGGTTTAAGGTGTGGCGTGAACAACGCAAATCGTCCAGTGGGATCCTGCAATATCCTTGCGCATGACACTTATTTACCATGTGCGCGTGAAGACACGTCCATGTGCGAATGACGCAAAGTGTCTACCTGCAGCGCTGACACTTTCTCCCTTGCATTTATTTACGAAAGGAGCTTTTCAGATAGTTTGCTGTTTTTTTCGACATCTTATTTTTACAATAGCTGGAAAAAAACAAAAAGTTTTCCACCACTATGGAGGTCCTGGATACAGTGGGGCAAAAAAGTATTTAGTCAGCCACCGATTGTGCAAGTTCTCCCACTTAAAATGATGACAGAGGTCAGTAATTTACAACATAGGTACACTTCAACTGTGAGAGACAGAATGTGAAAAAAAAATCCATGAATTCGCATGGCAGGATTTTTAAAGAATTTATTTGTAAATCAGGGTGTAAAATAAGTATTTGGTCACTTCAAACAAGGAAAATCTCTGGCTCTCAAAGACCTGTAACGTAGACCACTGATAATCTCCCTCGATCTGGGGCTCCACGCAAGATCTCATCCCGTGGGATCAAAATTATCATGAGAACGGTGAGCAAGAATCCCAGAACCACACGGGGGGACCTGGTGAATGACTTGCAGAGAGCTGGGACCACAGTAACAAAGGTCACCATCAGTAACACACTATAACGGCAGGGAATCAAATCCTGCATTGCCAGACGTGTTCCGCTGCTGAAGCCAGTGCATGTCCAGGCCCGTCTGAAGCTTGCCAGAGAGCACATGGATGATTGGGAGAATGTCATGTGGTCAGATGAAACCAAAGTAGAACTTTTTGGTATAAACTCAACTCGTCGTGTTTGGAGGAAGAAGAATACTGAGTTGCATCCCAAGAACACCATACCTACTGTAAAGCATGGGGGTGGGAACATCATGCTTTGGAGCTGTTTTTCTGCTAAGGGGAAAGGACGACTGATCCGTGTTAAGGAAAGAATGAATGGGGACATGTATCGTGAGATTCTGAGCCAAAACCTCCTTCCATCAGTGAGAGCTTTGAAGATGAAATGTGGCCGGGTCTTCCAACACGACAATGATCCCAAACACACCGCCCGGGCAACAAAGGAGTGGCTCCGTAAGAAGCATTTGAAAGTCCTGGAGTGGCCTAGCCAGTCTCCAGACCTCAACCTAATAGAAAATCTGTGGAGGGAGTTGAAAGTCCGTGTTGCTCGGCGACAGCCCCAAAACATCACTGCTCTCGAGAAGATCTGCATGGAGGAATGGGCCAAAATACCAGCAACTGTGTGTGCAAACTTGGTAAAGACCTATTGTAATCATCTGACCTCTGTTATTGCCAACAAAGGTTATGTTACAAAGTATTGAGTTAAATTTTTGTTATTGACCAAATACTTATTTTCCACCCTGATTTACAAATAAATTCTTTAAAAATCCTGCCATGTGAATTCATGGATTTTATTTCACATTCTGTCTCTCACAGTTGAAGTGTACCTATGATGCAAATTACTGACCTCTGTCATCATTTTAAGTGGGAGAACTTGCACAATCGGTGGCTGACTAAATACTTTGGGTCTTTGCACGTCCCACTGTGCAAAGACCTAGTTTGGACATCCTACAGAAGTGCTCTGGACTGACGGTCTCATATACAACATGATCTGCACGCTCATGTGTAACGTCCAGCAATGGTCAGTTTAGGTACAGCCTGACCTTCCACCATCTATTCAACACCTGGTCAGAGAGGAGACACAACATTGCATGTGTTCCCGTTAAACAAGTCTGCCCTCACACAAGCTGGGATTCAGACTCCACAAGTCTAAATCATAACATTAGCTTCCTTTCCTCAAGGTCTCAGCTGCAGATGACAGAAGATCCAGCTCAAATCAGTGCTAATGTCAAGAATGAATTTAATAAATCAATATGAACTCCTTCTATGACTTATAATCTAGATAATCATTAAATAAACATTTGCTTACTATTAATGGTGATAATTATAGTATTATGAAATGAAATGATTCATTAATTGTGCTCATTGACTGGATGTTGTTGATCCACTAGACTGCAATGTGTTCCCCATGTTTTGACGACAAGGTCCACACACCTGCACATCCACCAAAACCTTTGGTGCACCTGCAAAGCTGATGAAAAACACTTCCTGCAGAACAAAGCTGAACTGTTCACTTCTTAAGAGTTATCTCTGAGACGCAATCTGATTCCATCCTGTGATACCCGGTGACATCTCTTGAGACTGGAGAAAGTCGTGCTTAAGGTCAGTCTACTGGACCTGGGTGCCCTGAGGTCATCCGACCTCTTCTGACCTCCGGATCCAGACAAGGGTCATCCAAAGGGTGAGAGTAGAACACAGAGAGATTGCGTCTGAATGTGCTTTGATAACAATCAGCCTCATAGTTTATTGCAAACCAAATTCATTTTCATCCGGAGACGTCGCTCTCTGAGATTCGGACGTTCTGACCAACACCTCATGTACACATTAGCCTACATCACCTTTAGACCCATCCATTCACGGTAAATGCTTAGTTCACTTGTCGTGTTTTTCTTGTAATAAAATCATTTTTATTACAAACCTGACTCTTTCATGAATCGAAACGAAGTGTGTATAACTGCTTAATAAAGCAAAGAATCTTAGAATCTTCTGATTAAGCCCTATAATTTTCTGATATTTACAATAAAGATCAAGCAAGGTAATATTGTATATTTATTCAGAATATCAAATAAATAATACACATTTGCCACCACTACACATGCGACGTAGACTGTTTGCAGGGTTGTTGCAATTTTGCGACTTTGATGATTAAAGGGTTAAATCCATCTTCAGATGCACAAATCAATCCTCATGAATATTTATGAGAATGGATTCAGAATCAGAGAATCAACTTTTTCAACACAGCCCTACATACATGTCAGTGTGTGTGTCTGTCCACATGCACGCTCGTGTTGATGTGTGTGTGTGTGTGTGTGTGTGTGTGTGTGTGTGTGTGTGTGTGTGTGTGTGTGTGTGTGTGTTTCTCTTGGACTACCTGTAGGGCGCTGTTCAGGAAGCAGCTGTTCTGACCCGGCTCGTTGCTCAGCCCCTTACTGGGAGCAATGGATGTCATGGTACGAGGCGTCAGGATCCCTTGCATCCCTCCTTCACATCTGCTGGATGCAAAATAGTTTCTTTTCCAGGACATGTTCCTGCTGCTTTTGTGGGAATACCTTAGGAATCAGCTTCCTGTTTCTGGTAGCCACAGATCCATTTCCTCCAGTCGACAGAATGCAAACAAAAATATAATAAAACTCCAACAAGAGAAAACAGAAAGGAGCAGAAATGTTCAAGCAGGAAGTAAAACTCTAAAATGATTTAAGAAAACATTCCAGTATGATTTGTTCCAACAGTAGATCTTCTGAAAGAGGATTTCACTTCTATTCCAGCTGCTCCGTGTTTTGGGATCCTTCAGTTTGACAATCCAGTAAATGGAAGATTTCACGTTTAGTTTTCAGTTAAAACTAAAACATTCTCTATCCCAAAAATTCAAGAATTCCCCCAAAAAGCTCCTCAGTGTGATCCGAGAATCATCTTGTCACACTTCGACATCTGCAGCTTGGACTTCTTTCTCGTCATCATCATCACGTCCATGGGTCAGAGGTCAGCGGGTGCGGGCCGACTCAGCACAGATCTGCAGGAGATGAACAGAGAGCTCTGAGGAATTTTTATTTAGCTGCATCTTCCCCACCAGCTTTAACATGACAAAAGCTTGTTTCTACCAGATTACATCTTTGTCCTACACTTAGTCCAACACAGAACCAAAATGGACAGCAACTCCAGTCTACCTGCTTACTAACGTTACTATGGTCTCTTCACAGACAGAAAAAGTATGGATTCCATGACCTGAGCCTCCAGAGCCGTTTCCCAACAAAACCTAAAGCTCATCCCGATGGAGCCCTCAGCTCCTAACAGGGTTAGATGGAGTAGATAAATCTCAGTGAGTTCCCCCTGAATCAGTAGATTAACCTAACAGGGTTAGAGTTCTGTAACTAGTTAAAGTGATTCTGGATAGCACGTTGTGTAGGCGTACCCTATGTTTTCCTTTGAACTTTGGCTGCTTGTTCATTCTGTCAGTTTTTGTCTTCTGTTAAACTTTGTCTTTTGTCTTAAACATGTCTCAAACAGGACACGTCTTCATGTTTTCTGCTACCAGGGCTGGACTGAAAAATGAGCAAAACCTGCAGATTCTGAATGTAAGGCATCTCACAGCAGAATAAATCTGTGATGACAGGATGGAAGACTCTGTTCGGCTAACCCAACATTACACATGAAATAGCTGGCTGTGTAATAGCTGCACGTCTGGATCTGAAACATCCTCTAAGACTTAAAGCAGAAATAATTAAAGGTTTCTACCTCCTCCTTATCCGTCTGAACTGCTGACTCCCTATGTACCTACTCGCATGTTGAGGTCAGCTGACTGTCTACTGCTTTGCATTCCCCGGATGGCCTACAAATCACGAGGTGAACGTGCGTTTGTCTTGCTGCCCCATGCTCTGGAACTCATAGCCCATTACAGTTAGGCTGGCGTCCTCTCTGTCTGTTTTAAAATCTCGTTTAAAAACCTACTTTTATGACTTGGCTTATAGACAGTGATTCATGTTATCATATTATGATTTTATAGTTTTTATTGTTTTCTTTTATCTTCTTATTGTTTTTACTTTTGTTTTAATTGATCCTGCCTGTTCAGCACTTTGGTCAGCTCTCACACTGTGTCTTAAATTGAGCTATAGAAATAAAGTTGGTATGGTATGGTATGTTTGCCAGAAGCTGATGTGACTCAACCTCCATCTCTTCATCACTGCCAAACAACAATAGAGGGTTTGTTCAAAACTCGTCTGTCTGCTGAAGGCCGCTAAGGTTGGTGCTCTCTTCACAATCACAGACGGGATGCAGTATCAGTTTTAACGGAGAAGGAAGTGACGCCACCATCAGCGTCAGCCTGAGGAAGTTTGCAGCCACAAACGAAACGTAGCGGGAAAACAGGTAACAAAACTGTTCTGTGTTTTAAAAAAAGAACTACAGCATGGAATTGCAGTATCAGTATTTTATTAGACCAGTGGTTCCCAAACTTATTTAGCCGCGCACCCCCTTCTATGTCCCGACCATGTCGACGCCCCCCCCACACATCAGGGCATGGCTATATATATATATATATATATATATTAGGGGTGCTCCGATTGATCGGCCACAGATATTTATCGGCCGATTTTCCTGCAAAAGTGTGTGATCTGTGATCGCCGATCACTGCCTTTCATTTCCGATCTGGCGCTTACTCTTCCCGGCCGGTAGTTCACCCTTCCGCTTGTCCCCACTTAGTGCGCATGCGCGTGGCGGCAAACCCGCAAAGACAAACATGTCTGTCGTGTGGAACTTCTTTTCGGTGTGCGAGAGTGATATTAAGTTTGCGTCTTGCAACACTTGCAACGAAAACATACCCCGCGGAGGAAGCACTTCAAAAAAATTCAACACAACGAATTTGATCCGACATTTAAAGACCAAACACTTGGCGGAGCATGGTGAGTTTTTGAGGCTCACCGCAGACAAGGAAAAGAAGCCTGCTAATGCAGCCACAGTCAGACGGCAGCTAACGCAGCCGACGCTTGGAAACACTCGCCCATATGAGCGTGACAGTCAAAAGGCTAAGCAAATTACCCGTAAAATCATCGAGTTTATTGGACTAGACGACCAGCCTTTTTCAGTTGTGGAAGACGCCGGATTCCGCCGACTACTAACCCACTTGGAACCTCGCTACATGCTACCGGGACGTAAATATTTCGCCGACGTAGCCCTTCCAGAGCTCCACCAGACAGTGTATTCTTTCATCGAGGGACTCCTTAAAGAAAGCGTCTCATCCTCTGTGAGTTTCACGAGTGACATTTGGAGCTCAGATGTCAGTCCTGTGTCAATGCTGAGCTTAACAGCTCACTGGATAGATGCAGACTTTCAACTTCAAAGAGCTGTTCTGCATGCCCAGGAGTTTTCCGGTTCCCATACTGCGCTAGCTTTAGCAGCTGCATTTGAACAAATGTTTCAAACATGGCATATTCCAAAAGATAGGGTACATGTGATACTAAGAGACAATGCCAGAAACATGACGAAAGCTATGGCAGATGCTGGGTTACCAAGTTTGGGGTGTATGGCACACACCCTGCAGCTGGCCATCCATGATGCTGTGCTGTCACAGCGCAGCATAAGTGACAGTATTGCCAAAGGGAGACGCATTGTGGGACACTTCAGGCACTCTCCATTAGCATATGCAAGACTTCAGAGTGTACAAAAACAACTGGGACAGCCCACCAAAAGACTGCAGCAAGATGTCAGCACGAGGTGGAACAGCACCTATTATATGCTCCGCAGCCTCTTGGAGCAAAAACGAGCTTTGGGCTTTTATGCTGCTGACTTTGAGCTACCTGCTACCTTTACATCTTCCCAGTGGGACCTGATTGAAAGCACAACACTACCCCTGGAACCCTTTGAAGAGCTGACTAAAGAAATATGCTCATCAACTGCATCTGCTGCTGATGTCATACCCTCTGTGCTGGTTTTAAAGCGCCTACTTGCCAAAGATGCTGCAGCAGATCATGGTGTGAAGACAACTAAGGCCACATTGCTGGAAGCTGTCTCCAAAAGATTTGCTGATATCGAAAAGGAACCTCTCTACAGTTTGGCCACCATCATAGACCCAAGGTGAGAAAATTATAAAATAAATAATGCTGAAATGTAAGCATTTACTTATCCATAGTTAATTATTTTGTTTTCAAGTTGCCAGAAACTACAAGTTTAATAAGAAATGGATGTGATGTCCCCCCACCCCTATTCTAGGTACAAAGACAAATTCTACTCTGAAGAAGCAGTCAAGATCGAGACACACAGACAGCTTCTTCGTCTGATCACAAAGGCCTCTCAGAGGGACCCAAACCAAGAAGCTGAAGCCAGCAACACAGGACCACCAGCAGAGAAAGTGCCACGACCAGGATCCTTTTCTTCCATGTTCGGTGAAATCCTGGCAGAAGAAACCCCACGGCAGGCTCACACTGACACTCCAGCAGGACCAGCACCATCAGAGATGATTGTCTATCTCTCAGAGCCACCCATCCCTCGGAGTGCATCACCTTTGGCATTCTGGAAAACTAATAAGGAGAGATTTCCAGACCTTGCTAAAGTAGCTCGAGCCTACCTGTCTGCACCCTGCACAAGTGTAGAGAGTGAGCGATTATTCAGTGCTGCATCCAACATTGTAGATGAACACAGGAATAGACTCATGACTGAAAAAGCAGAGATGCTCCTCTTTATTAAAAAGAATCTTCCCATGATGCTTCTCAACAAGTCAAACACGTCATAAATATTTAGCGTACACATATGCTGTTTAACACTTTTCCCTGTTTAAAGCAGTCGCACTTTAAGTTGTGCAAGTTTTCTGTTTCAGGGTCTTTAGGACCATATGTATGTTGTTCAAGTGACAAATGGGCTATTTTATTTACCTTGTGAAAGAGTCATATTTATTTTATACTTTATAAGAAAGTGACAAATGTGCTATTTTTTTTTACCGGTACCTTGAGAAACAGAGTCATGCTTATTTTATACATTATAAGAATGGTAAGCACTTTCATTTTTGGTATAACAATAAACAGAGTTTGATAATTCATGGCCTCAGGTATTTTTGATTTTGTAAGTTATAGTTAATAGGAATGCATGCTCCATTTGAATCTGAATGTATCCTTAGTTACTTAATTTGATTTAGGCGGTGATGTGAGATATTGACTTTTTTTGCACTATTTGTAGCCTAAAGAGAGCCTTAATGTTTTCAATTTCTTATAAATTGTTACTGATATTACATAATTTGACGTGAAGTAAAACCATGTTTTTTCTGAATCAATATGTAACACATGCATTAGAACTCACCATAGCTAAATGAACAATTTACAGCCAGTCTATGTAATTGGTATCGGTAATCGGCTGATCGGCCATGATCGGCCTCTTGGCTGATCGGTATCGGTGATCGGCAGATTAAAACCTGATCGGAGCATCCCTAATACATATATATATATATATATATATATATATATATATATATATCAGATGTCAAGCTAAACAGACAGGGTTAAAAAAATTCCCCATCACTTTCATTTTTTAAATAGTAATTAATAAGCATTCTATACCATTACAATTTCCTTTGATTTCATTTTAAATAAATATTTAGAGTGCCCAGGTAGCACATAAACAATGCAATTTAACGGTTTTCTTAAAGTAGGAACGTTTAACCTGCAGCCAGAGCTCTCTCCTTCCTTCTGCTCTGCGTAAACCTGAGCTGATCACCTACTTGTGCGTAATCAAATGTCAATAGGGGACAAGATATAGCCATGAGGTTCACTTTTACCTCAGACCGACTTATTGCTGTTTTATGGTGTGGCTGAATCTGTGATCCGCTGTCATGCGGACCGGAATAACAAATGCTGCAGTAACAGAACTTGTGGTCAGGTTCATGAGGAGTCACTGGCTGGAGCGGACCCGACTCATCCCAGAAGCTAATATCTTAATTTGACCTTGAATGAAAAATAACCTCTTAAAAGTTTTTATCACGGTGGAGGCAGCGTTCGTTTCTGCCTTCAGTCTGACGGCGCGCCGGAGTTA